GTATTGGCTGCGCAACGATGCACTGATTGATCAGTATTGAATTAGATCGAACACGATTCTAATTATAGTAGGTCCAGCGGTGTCGTACATGGATGGACGAAGTTCGAATAATTTCGAACAATCGCTCAAATCTGGGCGCGAACGGCACGACCCGCGATACCCGCAGTTTCAGCGGATTCCGTCGACCGATATACAAGCAAACAGAGCCGATTCGGTTACTTCTGGTGAAACTATCGGCGTCGAGAACGTTACGCACGAAATTTTCTCGGTATCGTAAAATCCGACGGGCCAGAATATACGTACCCGGCGTTGCGCCAATCGCCGCAGCTACTCGGACTTTTTGTCAGCGATAATTCGACTTAATAAGTGCCGCGATGGATGGCAGATCGAAGCGAAGCGGGGAAAGGCAACGGAACGGAAGCTTTAACCTTCGGGCCGGCTCGCTGAAGAAAAACGGCAGGCCGTGGTTTGGCCGTCTAGCAATTTCAGTCTATCGTGGACACCGGACCGAGACACGCCGCGCCGTTCCGCGGCGGTTGTGTAACGGGCAAGAAAATCCAGCGGTCGAAAAAGTTCGGAGAACGGGCAATGTCGTGTACAAAGACAACAAAGGCTTCGACGGCGTGGCGCGGTGCAAAAAGATGAAGGCCGCCGCTGTTCCGCCGAATCGACTTTCCAGAGAGCGAAATAAAAAGAGCCCGGACCCCGTCGGACACCGCAGAAAGCGTGGCCGGATGCAACTGCCCGCTCCGCTGGCTTCGGGATTCTCCTATCGAGAGGATTCTCGATCGCGCGAATTTACCACCCCTCGGTCGAATCGCGCCCGCACCCCATCGGATCTTCTCGAGGCGATAAAGTCCCGAGTCCGAGCGTCTTTGCACGTCAGATCGTTTGCTTCGTCGTAATTTATTTCTAATTTACTTCTACTAATTTTTACTTGCATACATTTACTTCTACGTCTGGCTATTTACAATAATTTCTCCCTAATTCGCGCTCAAGATTGCGGCTCGTTTTTATAGTTATCAATTGTCAACAACTATAAAAATGAGCGCGAGGCTCGAATGATCGTATCTCCTCTTCCCAAATTGTCCATTCTTGTGCGCAATCTGAGCGCGAATTAGGGAGGAATTACTGTATTTCTGAACTACATTTATAAGAATTATATATTACTTTATATTATGTATTATGTGTATTACTCTACTTCTAAACTACATTCATAAGTATTATGATTCGAATGTCCCTCTGCGTTCGGGTCATTCGCGTGATAAGGGGATGTGTGTGTGCCTAGCGACGATATTGTATGCTCCTTTGTGCTCGTTCTTCTTGTCCAGAATCTCGAGATCTAAGCACGCGTGAAAAGTATAAAATTGTAAATGTGTGTAAAGTTATACGACTCAGTGTATTTTTGCTCAACGCAAATAGATTCTTTAACATTAGAATACCAAAACGGTCAAAATGGCTGGTTTCTGATTTTTTCCTCCTACACTTCCTGACATTTAAAAAATGTTTCTACGACTATTTGTTAGATAACTTCTTTATTCAAGCATATATTACAGCAGAAATTATACGTAACGTAAGTAAATACAATCTTGTCGTTATTATAAAAAAAAAATGAATATACAATAAATTTTCCCTAATTTTCCTTGAGCTTGTAAACGAAGATGAAAAATTTAGGAAGAGAAGATACGATTATTCGTGCCTTGCACCTCGTTTTTATAATTGTTGACAATCGGTAACTGTAAAACTACACCGCGAGGCCAGAACAATCGTACCTTGTCTTCCTAAATTGTCCATTTTTGTTTACAAGTTGAGGGAAAATTAGGGAGAATTTACTATTGATCGTGTTTAAGGCTCGATAGTTCTAGCGTTAACAAACTCCCCCAACACTATAGCGAATCTGTCATCGTTGCATTTCAACCATCGCAGTAAGATGGAACTTAGACGGGATCTTAATGTCCCACAAAATAGAACGGTCCAGACAGTAAACGCGTTAAACGACCGATCACCTGCGACGCTCGCGTGACGCGATTGCAGACGCTACGCCTCCGTGTAATTTGGATGTTTATGCAAATACGCGGGGTGGTTAAGCGGACCGTTCGCCAAACTGCAACCGTTCTCCTTCCCCGCCGATGCACGAGCAAAGCGAGCGTAATTGCTGGGACCGCTGAATTTCGGCTTTCAATGCGAAAATTGGCAGTCTCGAGCCGTGTCTCGTGTCTTGCGGTTTTTCAACCCCGTTCGCGGTCTTTATCAATTCCTTTTTCGGCCGCCTGGACGCGCAAAATGATCGCCAATTGATTTGTTACACCGCTTCTAATTTGCAAACTGTACCCGAAGCATTTCCAATGTTGCCATTCTTAAAGGATCGACGATATCTGTTAGCAACCCAACTTGTCGACATTATAATCGCGGTGTTGACGAGTTTACGAACGCATCGAATGCGTTGAAACAATTGAAGCGCACTAGAGGGCAAGTTCGNATTAGGGAGGAATTACTGTATTTCTGAACTACATTTATAAGAATTATATATTACTTTATATTATGTATTATGTGTATTACTCTACTTCTAAACTACATTCATAAGTATTATGATTCGAATGTCCCTCTGCGTTCGGGTCATTCGCGTGATAAGGGGATGTGTGTGTGCCTAGCGACGATATTGTATGCTCCTTTGTGCTCGTTCTTCTTGTCCAGAATCTCGAGATCTAAGCACGCGTGAAAAGTATAAAATTGTAAATGTGTGTAAAGTTATACGACTCAGTGTATTTTTGCTCAACGCAAATAGATTCTTTAACATTAGAATACCAAAACGGTCAAAATGGCTGGTTTCTGATTTTTTCCTCCTACACTTCCTGACATTTAAAAAATGTTTCTACGACTATTTGTTAGATAACTTCTTTATTCAAGCATATATTACAGCAGAAATTATACGTAACGTAAGTAAATACAATCTTGTCGTTATTATAAAAAAAAAATGAATATACAATAAATTTTCCCTAATTTTCCTTGAGCTTGTAAACGAAGATGAAAAATTTAGGAAGAGAAGATACGATTATTCGTGCCTTGCACCTCGTTTTTATAATTGTTGACAATCGGTAACTGTAAAACTACACCGCGAGGCCAGAACAATCGTACCTTGTCTTCCTAAATTGTCCATTTTTGTTTACAAGTTGAGGGAAAATTAGGGAGAATTTACTATTGATCGTGTTTAAGGCTCGATAGTTCTAGCGTTAACAAACTCCCCCAACACTATAGCGAATCTGTCATCGTTGCATTTCAACCATCGCAGTAAGATGGAACTTAGACGGGATCTTAATGTCCCACAAAATAGAACGGTCCAGACAGTAAACGCGTTAAACGACCGATCACCTGCGACGCTCGCGTGACGCGATTGCAGACGCTACGCCTCCGTGTAATTTGGATGTTTATGCAAATACGCGGGGTGGTTAAGCGGACCGTTCGCCAAACTGCAACCGTTCTCCTTCCCCGCCGATGCACGAGCAAAGCGAGCGTAATTGCTGGGACCGCTGAATTTCGGCTTTCAATGCGAAAATTGGCAGTCTCGAGCCGTGTCTCGTGTCTTGCGGTTTTTCAACCCCGTTCGCGGTCTTTATCAATTCCTTTTTCGGCCGCCTGGACGCGCAAAATGATCGCCAATTGATTTGTTACACCGCTTCTAATTTGCAAACTGTACCCGAAGCATTTCCAATGTTGCCATTCTTAAAGGATCGACGATATCTGTTAGCAACCCAACTTGTCGACATTATAATCGCGGTGTTGACGAGTTTACGAACGCATCGAATGCGTTGAAACAATTGAAGCGCACTAGAGGGCAAGTTCGTCCTCCTCGTGCATCGTTCAGGTCATCTCATCCACAGCCAACAATGCAAAATGAAAATTGTTTGCGCTAATTGCAACCTACAGAAGCTACGTAGACATTTATTTCGTTTCTTAATAATTTTGAACGCTTGAAAATAATACAATAGTATCTTTAAATCCTTTAAATCTTGTTACTGTTTCGATATTCGACCTAATCATTTCTGTCATAAATGCATAAAAGCCGCAATATGTTCATAGTCTGTTCATAGATGTATCAAATAAAGATGTATAATGACGCATCTATATTTATAGTTAACAAATACAAGTCCTTCGTTACAAACGAATGCACACCCCTACACAACAATAATAAATATATTGTATGACACATATGTGTGTACGAGTGTATAGTATATTGTGGAATATAGTGATCGAGAACAATTCATGATTCACCCGTGCCGCACAATCCACCTTCCCAATACGATCCCCCAATATCATCGAAGATATAGGGGCGTCAACATTGAATTTGAGGATTGGATAAAAGCACAAGTTTCACTTTAGAAACGCGATCGACATGGTCTCGTACATTGAAACATTTCGGTACGTTTCCCAAGTGTCCGAAAAGATCTCGCGGAACGAGGGGGGACCAGTCGGCGTAAAATAGAAGGGCGCGTAGCGGACCCGAAAAGGTGTTAGGAGCAACTACGCTAATCCTGGTCAGAATCATTGTCCACCGTGGAGCCTTGCTTATCCTGGCCAGCTAATAAGCTACCTAATTTCCCTGTTCCAGGTAGAGCGGGTCACAAAAGGCCGCGAGACGGGAGCGGAGGCAGCCGAATCACCTGGTCAAAGGGTGCACAGTATCCTCTCTGGGTTGACAATACGAGAGCCGGTCTACGCCACTGTGCGGCGCGCGGCGCGCCGGTGTCCTCCGTGCAGACGGTTCGGAGTTTGGTGTTGCGGCGTGGAGCGAGAAGGGCTGCTATAGAGAGAGTCGCGCGGGCTGGAAGGCAGGAATCGCGGCGGAGAGGGAAATCGTTGCTCGGCGAGCGGGCGTGGCCAGCGGCCGGGCTGTGGTGGGGGCATAAGTGGGCGGTCCTAGATGGAATCGTGTCCGCCCCACCTTGTATCGCCGGGCTTCGATAGTTCGACCGCGATGCGGCGCTGCCGGTGGCTGGAACCAGTTGCAGCTGTGCCGGTTCCCTCACTCCGCATCGCGGCTTCGTCCCGGCAGACGGGCCTGTATTTACCGTGGCGCAGCGTGCTCGCGCGAACCTCGTTTCCTGGGGTTGTTCCTCTCGGCGTGTCGTCGTCGGGTCTCGTCGAGTTCCGTGTCCACGGGTCAGGCACATGCGCCATAAACCGGGCTCGCCGATGCTGACGCTGACGCCGACGTGACCGTTCTCCAGCGTTCGCCGTCGCCTAAACGCGAGAACACAGACCCCGGGGCTCCGTCGATCTCCCTCGAATGCTCGAGAAAGGACTGCCCCTCGGAGAGTGGTAGTACACGATTATTGAGTGCAGGTGTCGCGCCGCAGTGATAATTTGTGAACCGGTAAACTGGCCCCCGGGGGTGGCTCCCGGCGATGGAACCAGGGGATTCGGTGTCACGGACTGAGCACAGTCTGCCCGGCTAGCGTGGATGAACCCCGGTCAGTGATATTGTGCAGTGTGCGACTCTGATCCTCGAAAGAACCGTGACTATAGATCGGAGGGGGTTGTTGATCATGTGCCTGTGACGATCGGAGGCGTAGCGATCGCCGGACAGGTGAGACCCGACCCGAGGGAGAAGCGTATGTGGTTTCAGCAGTGACGTTCTCCGACCGCAAGAGGAGCCGAGGAGCCGAGGAGCCGTTGCTCGGGCCCCGAGGTAGCCAGGGAAGTCGAGGAAGTCTGCTCTCTCGGGCGCAAAAGGTGGCCGCGCTCGAACGAAGAGGAGACAGAGGAAGAGAACCTGCGCAGCGGACGCCATCTCCGCGTTATCGGCAAGCGGATCCCCCGGGACTCCCCCCCAAGCAGCTTCGGCGTCGCGCACCCTCGGCGGGAGCTACCCCGCGACAGCAGCCACCCTGATGGGAGTGTATGAGGAGCGCGCCCCTCCTACCACCGGCATGCACTGGGTGAGTGTCATCCCTCTGTTCCAGCTTCTTCTTTGCCCATTGGCCGTGCACAAGACGCGTCGTCGGCCGGGGCTCCCTTTCTACCCGAGCCCGAGATCCTCCGTCCACGATCCTCGTCGAATCCTCTTCGTCTTCCTTCATCCCGTCTCCTTCGTCCCCGTCTTCTTCCTCGTCTGCGACGCTTCTTCGTCCGACACTTCCTGTCTCACCTCCTAAAGGTTCCGGCTAGACTTCCGCCGACGATCCCCGACGTTCGCCTAGCCGCTGGAACGATCTCCTATGCTCCAGTTGTCGGCTGACAGGTGGATCGATCGCTAGATTCTTTAAGAGCGTAGGGCGTTTACGGATATGCGGCTTCGACCGCCTCGCCTCGAACCGGTATCCGTCGACTTCTTCGTCGCTGCGCCGTCAAAGGGAACTGTAACGCAGTGGAACCTCGATTACCCGGTCCTCGAATATCAGAATCATTCGTTATTCGAGTACTTTCCATCTGCAAATTTTGCTTTTCATCGATCAAAGACGAACCGTGTACGAAACGATTCATTGTATAAATAAGAAAACATGACATCTGGCGCTTTAACTCGAGGTTTACGAAACCTCGTGTCAACGACGGGTCAGTAACTGCTTAATTTACGATTGTTCAGATTGTAAAGGACACTTACGAGTTATACGATTATTTATTCAATGCACGCGCTGCTTGTGGCAAATATTACGATAACGCTCGTTCAAAATCCGTATAAATGGCATCGGGCATTTAACTAACGTAAAACAGCCGCTTTTAGTGCTCCGTAAATCTAGTGTTAAATAAGCAAATGCTCCTATTATCCGAACATTTATGTCACATTGCATAGCCCGCATAATCGAGGCTCCACTGTGCAAACATCGTGATAATGGTCTCGTAATGACTACTGATCGGGACTCGCGCCCGACGCGACCAACCCTTTCCATTCGTGTCTCTTTTCGGAAGTCATTCCGGGACGAAGGGGTGCTGGTTCCTTTGGGGTGACGTTCCGAGCTGAACTAGAATAGGTCGTTCGTTAGTTACAGAGTCCTCGGATCTTCTGCATTTATGACAAAAATGTTTAGTTCAAATAGAAAACGGTGAAAACATTTAATGAATTTAAAAATGCTGTCGCATTATTTTCAACCGATTATAATCCTTGTGAGACGAAATAAATGTCTGTGTAGCTTCTGTATCTTGCAATTAGTGCTGTCAATTTTTATTATGCGAAAAAACCGCAGTCGTCGCGTTAAAATGATGTCAAGTGGATAACTCTAACAACTTAGAAACCTTAGGAACATCGATCATCCTAGGTGCGACATGCGGGTGGTTTCAATTCTTAGCAACGAAATAGCACAATCTGTCAAACATAGTTGCTAGAAATCATGAACTTGTCGTGTCGCGCAACGTTCGTGCAATAATAGCGAGTACGTTCTTCTATTGATTAGCCTCGAACAACGTCTCCGACGCGTCCGTCATAGAAATACGAATATTTTCGATCGCATCGATCCGTTGATCGATGGCCGTTAAACGTTCCAAGCGTCCACGGCGACGTTTCCCTCGTGTGCCCCGAACAATTTCCCCGGCGTTTCGTTCGCAGAAACATGAATATTCTCGATACTCCGGTACTAATTTAACGAGCGATGTCAGCGAGCCGATAGTTGAAAATGGATTGTCGACGGAATCCCAGGCGACGCCTCGCCGGTTCGTACCCCTTAATGGAAACAAATCCCGAGTCCGGATAATTCGAGCCGGCGGTTTTATTGCTCGTGATTCCGTAATTGGAATATTGCTGGTCGTCGCGCGACCAGTCGCGGACGAGTCCGACGCTTATCGGCGACGTAACGCCCGGGTGATATATTCACCGGACAACGTCGACACGGGCGAAACGGGTTTCTTGATTCGTGGCGCTGTAGATCGATGCCGACAGCAAAAAAAAGTACCGATTACGACAGTGCCACGGCGCGTCAACGGAACCACGCTAATGGATCGCGATGGGAACCGCGAATTTTCGGGGTTACTTCGAAAACGTCGCCGCCTCGGTCGCGTAGACGTTCTAATGACAGTCGATGCCATCGATTCCTCGAAAAATCAGATTTTGCACCCGAAGGTTTCCGGTTTTCTTGCTTCGTTTGCTTGCAGATTCATTTTTGTCAGCCGAAATCGAAGCGTAGGAAATCATTGCATTTTAACACTTAGAGTACCGAGCATTAAAAGTGACGAATTTGTGTTGCTATGTAAGAAGGATAAAACTGAATTTAATTTAGATTTTCCACAATTTTTATTACAACGAATACTTGGTTTAAGAAATTTATTCGAGCGTTTTCTATGGGAGAGTCTTTATAATTTCAGCAATTTTAAAATACAAAATGTGAAAGAGTGGTCATTTTGACCGGTCGTGGTGGATTTAGTGTTAAAATAAATTTTGTTTTTAATATCATAGCGATATTTCAACTTTGTCTATTCGATCGAGTAGGTAATGCATCTCTCTCTCTGAACATTTCGAACCGGAATTTTATGTACGTTAAGCTGTCTGCAACAATCTCTCGAATTACGATAACAGCAATTACATGGTTTAGCTGTAGGTTTTCATTTCTGTATCCCGTCGTTCTCTCTTTTTCTTACCCGTCTGTTCGCAAGTCATCACATTCTGTTTTAGTTTTGTAGCACAAAAAGTTCGTCCCGTTAAACCACCGAAATAAATAAACACGTGAGATGCGTTATTGTCCGCAAGCGACTGTCACTGGTGCATAGATAGAACCCGTTTAGATTTTGTACAGCTTTAATTATAGAACTTGTTCCAATAATGTAATTTATTCAGTCATTTCCCACGAAGAAGTCTCCGCGAGTTTATGGTATCGTAAAATTAAAAACCGGTCATTCTGACCATGATAGGTTCGGTATTAAAACCGAACAAAGTCGTCTGACATTCTTGCTTGGACTCGGTTCGCAATCGTTTCGCGCAGCGTCCGGGCGACAGCTATCGAATTCATTGAAAATTTCGCTTGGTTCCCGGACTCGTTCGCGTTCCCCGGGACTTGTAAAGCGAATCAGAGGAACGTTGTTCGCCGGTCACAGAACGTCGACATTCGTTTCCATCCGCAGAGGCCGCGCGCAAACGCGAGCGTCCCGAATGCCCGAACAATGTACGATCAGCGAAAACGGCGTTCATCTTCGCGGAATGTTAATTCCGTTTTAAACGACTGCTGAATGGCCGGCCCGTTAACGGGTACACCTTGTAAACAAACGTAATTGATTGTTCCGTGTCACCGCGTTGCCCGCTAATTGAACCGATGCATTAACCGCGGCGAAGCCGACGAAAGGAGGTGGATACGAGGAACCCCCCTTCTGGTATTCCTTTGAATTCCTTTTTTCCGTTTTATCCGGCTCCGACGTGTCCCCCTCTCGCATTAAATTCGTCGTCGCGTCGGCCCGAACGATAATCCGAGCGTTGCGGATTTTTCACTCGGCGCGCGTCGTCGACCAGTCGATCGGAGGCCCGCGTCGATTCTTTCGCGGGTAAACGCTGCCCCGATCGGTGATTAGTAGTTTTAGGCCCGGGAACTGGTTCCGTTGACCTAATGAGCGATTCAAACGATAATTATCGATTTCCTTTCGTCGGGTTTCCAACAATTTCCGAGCGTCAAGCAGACCGTGCAGATTTACTGTCACGGGCGTTGATAAATTACTGCTCAATCTTCGGACGTGATACAATCCCGAAACACGAGATGCGGTTAGATGTTTAATTCAAACGCAGAGATATTCGGTAAATTAGTTCGGTTCTAAATAATTACGGTTTTCCAGATGTTAGATTGCGTAATAAGTCCGTGCACCTCTGACATCTAGGAAAAGGCGAGGAAAACTACACGGACTCGGACGAATTTTGAGATACGTTCTCGCGGGGCTATATCTGTGCAACATAGCTCAAACGAAAACTGAAAGTGTCTACTTTAAGACAGGATTAATTAGATCGCAACAGAATGACGAGATCGTTTTGAAAAATTAGAAGAAATCGATCTCTGACATCGTGGGGTTTGCAAGATTCGAAAGGAAAAGTTCAAATGTATTTCCAGATAAGTTTCAGTAGAGCTATTTCCATGCAACTTAGCTTGAATGACAGCTGGAGGTGTCTACTTTAAGACAGGGTAGATTAGACTGAAATTGCGTAATAGGTCCATTCGCGTTTTCTTATAAGAAAACATAGACACATGGATAATTCTGGACACGATACGCTTCGACTTTGCGAATTTTTCGGAGCGACTCGCACGCTGGGACAAGACCTAATTCATCCTCGACCACGCGAATTCGCTCGATTTTTCGTAAACAGTGCTCCATCACAGGCATCAAGCATATCCACGTCGAACAAATTCCAGCATTTCGAGAGTGGACCGCGAGAGGAACAAAGCTGCCATTCAGTCGGCATTAAAAAAAAGAACGAACATATTTTCAAGCGAATTATCCTAAAGTCCCTGTGTCCCCGAATAAATGTCTTCCTCGAGAGGATTACGAGCGGATTATGAAACGAGCGGGACAGAATGGTCGGTTTCTAAACGCTGTCGGTTTCGCGAAACCGCGAAAACGGTCGAGGCGCGCTCGGTCCGGCGATGACCGGCGCGGCGGCGGACGTATCTCGGCCTGGCCGGCTAATAAATTACGGTCCGCACAAACGGACCACTATCACGAGCAGACACGTTCATGGCACGATGCCCTTATCTCATCGAAGTTACAATAATCACACTCTCTTCGGCCGAGCCGGGCCTCGGCTCCAGGCTGACGCGCGCGCGTCGAAAACATCGAAGGCGTCCTCGTGAGACTAAACGACGCCGAATACGGGCCACGATAACGCCGTATCCACCGAACGAAATTTCCGGTACATCGTTCGATCTGTCCCTGTCACAGCCTCCAATCCAGTACCCAATTCCAGAAACCGTCCGAAAATATCGTAACTCTCCAAACAATCGCCAAACTGCAGCGAGAATTCAGGCGTGCATTCAGGATG